AGTCACTCAAACCAGGAAATACATCTGCTAGACTTGCTCAGCTCATCCTATCACAACTATTATGCTATTCAAAGTCATCCTGTTTTCTTTTCAAGTACCGTTTTTAAAAAAAAATTTAACTTTAATTTTTTATTTTAAAATGTCATTCTGTAACCGACTTGTTCTACAGATCTCTGTACAAGTGTTATGATACTGATTTTGAAAGTACTGACAGGGCTCAACACTACGGAATATTTGTACTGTTCAAATTTTTTACTTGCCCTGGCAAAAAATTCACTGGCCTTGACACACTCACAAAATTTTTTTAAATAAATAATAAATAAATAAGTAAAATAAAATAAAATATTAAAAATAAATAAATATGACTTATTGTTTTTATTGTAATAAATGATAACCATTTAGCACAAATAGAGACTATAGTAAAAAGATAAAAACAAAATGAACCATGCTTTATGTTTTTCAGGTAGGTTTAACTGTATTCCAAGGATGCACTGATCAGGATTTTTCATGACCGATTCCAATTGCTGATTTTTTTCACAATCGAATGGGCCGATTCCCATACTGGTTGCCTATTTATTTATTATAATTTTTTTTATTTAATAGTTGTTTATTTGCTCTGTTACTGGCCAAACTGGCCTTAACCCCTTAAGGTCATTATCCCGGTCCCGGGAGAGGAATTGAGTCATCACGTGTGTTTTTGAAAATATTACACGTGTTGGAGCACACAAACCCCAAACCCCGAGTTCTCTTGCGCCTCTTCTCTCGTGCTCGAACAGACAAATACATTAAAAAAATTATGCCAAAAATACAAGATATCTAGAAGTTTAAACCATTCAAGTGCAAGATGAAGCAAAATAACTCAATTCAGTACTCGCGGGCTGTTTCTATGCTCACAGCAATGCAATGCAATCATTTTCACACAAATGACATTATTAGCAAATATCTGTAAACCGGATATACGGACGCAAAGAGGAGAGATGCGCAAACAGAGAAGGTGCTGTACCACTGTGCCCACGGCCCCAATCACAACTCGCTCAAGGGACAAGGCCAAAGATGTAACCTTTTCACAATTATAATATTTTTTTAAATAGTTTGCTGAAACACTTCTGCGGCTGCTTCATCTACTTCAGCCATGCTGATGTAACACTGATCACGCTTAACCTGCCTTCCGTTTCCACTATACTCGCTCAGACATACATACATTCTTCTCTTACATACACATATTTTCTTCAGACTGACATGCATTTTCTTCTTATATAGATTTATTATTTATAACATTACATTTATACCTTGAATACATTTGCATAAGAGCAAAATGAATAAATGTGTGCTTAAAATATGAATGTAAGAGGAAAATGTAAGAATGCGTGTTACTATGAGTTTGTTACTATGAGAGCAAAAATGTATCTATGTGAAAGGAGAATATAATTGTGTGAGACCACCAGAATAAATTATGGCTTGTACGGTCCTTCATAGGACTGGACAACTAGTTGTCTGTCACATCATACAGTGCCGAGAGAGAGCCACTCTGCTGCACAAACGCGTGTCTACCGTGTTTTGTGTGTTTTCATGGTTTCAGGAACTTACAGAGACGGAGAAATGAGCTGTGTGTCATCTGAAAGTTTTAGATCCAGTCAGATTTTCTCCATCGGAGCCGCTCAGTTTTGTGTTTTGCGTGCGATGCAAATGCTCCGCTCTCCGCCCAAATATAAAAGCTGCTGTCTGTTAATGAAAGTAGTCAATATGCTTCACCACCTGTCAACTTTTTTGATTGATGATGACCTTTGACCTTTTACACTGAGGGGTTTGACCCCTTGACCCCGGACCACCCAGGTTGCGTTCACCTTTGACCCTTTAATTTTCAGATGTCAATATGACGAATGGTTTTTGCATATTTGGAATTCCAACGTTGACCCGTGACCTTTTAATTCTCCAGCTGTCAAATAGGTCAATACGGTTTTAGTATGTGGAATTCCGTCATTGACCCACATCCATAATAAGAGCTTTGTTCCATTTTGAACCTTGACATGTCAAATTTGAAGCCCCCAGGCTTATTGACCTTTCACATCCGGGGACATCTGTTGACCATATGAGGATATCCAGCCCTCATTCCATCTTATGGTCACTCTACGGTCATGTGAGAAAGATATTGGTTGGTTTTAAGGACAATATCAAAATAAGTGGAGGAATAAACAATTTTAACAGACCATAGGCGCGTTTCCATTACAGATTTGTGCAAAACTTTGGCGATATTTTATAAATGTCGATAAAAAAGTATTGCAAAATGACGGCGTTTCCATTAACCAATGTTATGAGACTTAAACGCGTATTTTCAATTCGCAATTTCAATTTGCGCAATTTGAAGGGTAATGGAAACGCGCCTCATAAGAGCTGATCACAATATGCGTAAACACACATACACACACACACACACACACACAATTGAATGTATAAAAGGTGTTTATTCTTATTTAAAGATGTATATAAATAAACATAAATGATGTGTGTGTATATATATATATATATATATATATATATATACATACTCACATTTACTATAGTTTTAGCAAAATGAATAAATATAAATTATCTTACATTTTTATGAGAGCTTTGAAATATGTTGAAATATAAAACCACGGTGTGAGTGCTCTTCACACAGCATGAGTCCCTGTCAAAACGGTGTGTCATTCGACATGACGGGTGTGGGGCTGCTTAGAAGCGTCAGATATGGGTGATATGGAAGCAACCCCTAATGTTATGCTCGGTTTAAAATGCACAATAGGTTATTCTGTGTGCGTCCCCATCCAGGACGCCTTCGGGGTGTGCATGCTGTGACGCTTCCTCATAGAGGACGGCTGGCAAAGAGGCCATTGTTCAAAATACTTCTTCGTCAATGAATCTCTCGTAAGAAATATGAGTTGAAATATAAAATCTCAAAGTGTTTGTCATGTAAGAAAAAGTTATCGGTCGATTGCCAAAATAAGTAAAGGTATAAAAAATTTATTTTAACAAACCATAAGGGATATTGTGGACCCCGACATGCCCAGACACTTTTCCATAGACATTGATTTTCATACTGTATATTCTATCCCCTGCCCTAAAACCTACCCATCACAGTAAACTTTCTGCATTTTTGTATTTTGTACACTAATATAATTTTGCCATTTAAAAATGTTTGTTTTTTGCTCATGGGGACAAATTTTGCTCTGGTCAAACATTTGATGTATTAGTGCACAACAAGAGGGTACATGAACCACACACACACACACACACACACACACACACGTCAAATTGTCATAATTTATGGGAGGCTTTCCATAGACATAATGATTTTATACAGTACAAACTGTACACCTACCCATCACACAAAAACTGCATACTTACATTTTTTATAAAACATTGTTTAGTATGTTTGTAAGTATTTTAATTATGATGACTCAAGAAATATTTTATCTATTTTAAAGAAGATGGTAATAAATACAATATTTGATTATATATAAAACACTCAATATAAAAACAAACATGGCACTAAAAACAGCAAAACATTTACTACAGTTTTAGGTAACAATATATATGAAGAAAAAAAACATCTTACATTTTTCAGAGATCTAAAAAGTAGTTCCTTATGTAATGATGGTTCATACCTTTAATGAAAGGTTTACAAAAATGTATTTAGTTTAAGTTATATCATAAATAAAAACTTAAAGATACTTGCCTTGTCCATTGTGAAACTGATATGGGATGGGCGAGGGAGGAGATACAGACCAGATGTTAAGAAATAAATGTATAGCCTTTGAAATAAATGTATAGCACATCCAAAACGTTCACTTAGAAAAAAGTGAATGTTTTGAATGTGCTACATTTATTTCAAAGTGTAATTTTGCTTTAAAGTTTAAATAAATATTGTCCCCTACTACTTCCATCCTATGGTAGAAATATTCTGACTGACCTGAAGTATAATTTGTATTAATCAGGTTTATTCCAGTTCTAAAACTTCAGATTCTTTAAAAGTTTCGATTCTTTAAAAGTTTCTTATTTCTACAAAGATTCAACCAGCGTTTTACCCTGGTCAATATGAGGTATGCTGACAAGAAATTGTCGCATTTAGGTGTGTTTTAAAATATAACTTAATTATACATATTGAACTATCCTCAAACAAGTCCAATCATCAGAAATACCTTCTGCTGATGGAGATACATTTTTAATAATAATTTTTTCCTGTGTCCCGCAGTAGAAAATATCTCCACTGTTAAAACCTTGTATACAATATGTATTAAAACTATAGAATTAATTAATGGTGTTAATACTTTTGTAAAATTTTAAGGGTTCACATGTCTCATAGATTTATATGATTTTAGTTTTCCAACTTTTTCCCAAAATCAAATTTTGTACGTTTTGCATAACACTTTCTTTTTTTTTTTTCAAATCATAATCTTGCTTTAAAGTTTGAATAAAAGGTTATTAAATGTAGCTTCATACCCGTTATGTTCTGAGAACTTCATTAAAAAAAAAACATATTTTAGGGTTGGTGAGATTTTTAATGTTTTTGAAAGAAGTCTTTTTTTGCACCAAGGCTGCAATTATTTGATCAAAAATACAGTAAAAACAGTAATATTGTGAAAATTTCAATTGAATCTCTTGGAGTATATTTTAAAATATAGTTTATCCCTGTGATAGTAAAGCTAATTTTTTAGCAGCCATTACCTTAGTCTTCATTGTCACATCATCAAGTTTTATAGAGTTTTTTTTCCTAGCCATATCTACTCCATATCATCCATTTTTATGTCAAATACATGAATATAATCAATTCATTAACACAGAAATTCATTTATTTATAATTTTTGGGGCATTTCTATCATACTGACCCCAAACCTTTGAACAGTGTTGTGGATGGCTGGCTGGCTTGATGGATGTATGGATGGATGAATTGATTGATTGATGGATAGATAGTTTTGTATGTGTATGTTAATCATCTGATGGTTTTCCTGTTTCTGTGGCAGATGAACTTTGTGAAAGAGCAGTTTGGAGACACTCAGAGGGAATGGGTGCTGCTTGTGTGTATCGGAGCGTCGTCTGGAGTCGGTCGACTGCTGTTTGGGAAGATCGGAGACCTCATACCTGGAGTAAAGAAAATCTACATGCAGGTATGGAAACCCACAGGAACTGCTTACTGCATGCCAGTGAATCATAATTCCATAGCTGGAGAAGTTTGCTTCTAGGGCTGCTACAAATGAATATTTTGATAATCGATTAATCTAACGATTATTACAACAATTAATCGACGAATCGTCAATTATTTCACTGATTAATCACTAGTTTCTGCAACTTTCATGCTATGTCACTATAAATTGGCATGAAACGATGACAGGACGGTCCTGCTGCGGTGAAGTGTCTCGCTTAAGGTCACACCGGTGTTACATCACAGCAGCCCAATCTAACCAATCAAAGTTTCTGAATTTCTTTACGTTCTAAAAGTGGAACAAAATTTGAATTAGTTTTTCTCTTTAATTCTAGATTGAATCTTTCTTTTATATGATGTCAATATATAATTCTTTCCTGAAAAACAGCATGCTGTTTCATTTGTTGCAAAGCTGTTTCATTATCTTTTGCAATTTGGTTGCCAGGAAACTTCAAATGAACATCTGCATACCTTTTCCTTTAAAGGAAATATTTGCTTTTAGGATTTGATTTTCAATGGCATTTTAATGTTTAATGAGGGTGTTTTATTTTATATATAATTTTTTTTTTTTTTTGGAAAAAATAACTTCCACAACATCCAACAATACCAATAACAATAAAAATTGTTTGTTTGTTTACTTGTTTAAAATATGACATATATATAAACTTTATGCACTTTCAAGAGCTTGTTCAGCATAGTTGAATTTTCCGATTTGAACAGCATATTTCACAATCTACCTGTCGTTACAAAATTTGTAATACATTGCAGGCTTAATTTTGACCAAACAACCTTCATCCCTTGTTGGTAGTATTCAAGATCAGACAATACAGGTTATAATAAATGTCCTGTGTATCAAAAAAAGTAGGACTCACTCTATGTATTCTTTTATTCCTCTTCTTAATTTACTTTTTAAAATTTGTTTAAATTTTTTTTATGAAATCTGCACCATATTATCCGTTTTTATGTAAAATACTTAAATATCATCAGTTCATTTATTATTATTTTTTTGTCATTTTCTATGGTATTTTTCTGTAGTACCCCCTTAAATTCTAATCCTGTTACCAGTACTATAAAAAAAAATTTGTAAGTAATTTTCTGAGCATCAGGATATGGAATGCCTTCGTGGCTGTAAATCTGAGATGTCAAACTTCGGATGGAGCGCAGCATTAGTCCACATGCTTAGACGATCTCTCTGTGTGTCTGTATACATGTAGGTGGCCTCGTTCATATTACTGGGTCTGATGTCCATGATGATACCTCAGTGCGCCGTGTTTGAAGGTCTGGTGGTGGTTTTCGTATTGATGGGTCTTTGTGACGGCTGTTTCATCACTATCATGGCCCCCATCGCCTTTGAGTTGGTAGGGCCCATGCAGGCGTCTCAAGCCATCGGCTACCTCCTCGGCCTCATGGCCATACCAATGACAGCGGGGCCACCGATCGCAGGTGAGGAGCTTAAAAAAAAAGAACGTCTGTTAGAGTAAATACTTTGCATTAAAACATTTACATTTGCTTGCATTGGAATGACTAATTTTTATTTTATAGAACTTAGAGCTTTTACTTTAAATGCAATTTTAACTTGTAAAAGTTATTTTATTTTATAATAACATATATACAGTGGGTACGGAAAGTATTCAGACCCCCTTAAATTTTTGCTGTGTGTACATTAATGAGGAAAAAAAATTAACTTAAATGATTTTAGCAAATGGCTGCAATATAACAAAGAGTGAAAAATTTAAGGGGGTCTGAATACTTTCCGTACCCACTGTATATATATAATAGACATGTATTTTATATGGATAATGCATATACATGTATATATAAAACTTATGTTATGCTTATCTAAGCTTATGCATGTAAGCTATGTTATATATTACTTGAGAAGTAAATCTTAAAATTTTCACACAAAAATGCACACACACACACACACACACACATATAGAATTTCAACTTGTAAAGCCATATTTTTTGTAAACATTTTCTTTTAATTAATTTTTTTAACAAAAAAAATTCGTGCAAACACACACATTTGTACTTGTAGATAAATATGTTGAAAACATGATTTAATCAGCCAGCATGCTGATCTTGGCCACGTTCCCCAGATAAGACTCGCACACACACAACAGACTAAGTGTTTCTCCAGTTTCTGGGTCTGGTGGACAGGAATGAGACTTATTTCGGAGGATAAATTCCAAGGTCTCCCTGTGAGCACATTTAGTTTGGACTGTTGACTTAAATGCTCTTGTTCAATGACGGTCTCCATATGTTTCCAGTTCCGCAGCCTCGTTTTGAAGAATTAGACCCACCAGAGCATCTGCTCCATCTGTACTCCAATAAATAGACCTTATACTTTCAGGTCTCAAGGTTCATTTACAGAATACTGACGTTACCTGTCTGGACTCTGGGTTGGTTTCAGGAACGCAGAGTCCTCATTCGAGAACGTGATGCATCATTTGTAGGATCTATTTTCAAAGCGTTGCCTTCACAGCAGGGACATTACAACTAGGTTTGGATTGGCTGTCACATACTGTTATTTCACATACTTGGAACCGCGATCTGACTTCTAAATGTTTAAGTTTCAAGTGATCTTATATCTTCTGTATAGGCTGGGGAGCATCTTACCAAAGTCTTCAAAGTCTAAATAGCTCATAGTTGTTTTGCTTCAGATGTATTCCAGACTGCAAGCCTCATTGAGATTCCTTGAAATCGAGAGCATTTGAAGATGAATGTGGCCGTCATAGCAGGGAGTCTCGATTGAATTGCATTGGATTAGTTCCAGTCTTCAATCTTTTTATTCAAAGTCAACATGAAATCAAAACTGACTCCCCAGTTATTCAATAGTAAATCGTTCTTTTTTTTTTCATTTTTTCACACACACACACACACACACACGCACGCACGCACGCACACACACACACACACACAGAAACAATTGACAAGCGTGTCTGACTCTGATGTGCAAGAAATTAATTAAATCATGTAACATAAAATTAAGAAATCAAGGCACAAATGATGCAAAAAAAAAAAAACTCTTTAGGCTGAACTCCAGTGCCTGCACTTTTCCTCATTGAATATTCCTTTTCACTTACATCATGTTGCATCAAATACATCATGTTGCAGAATTAAAATGCATTGTAAATGCTGTTTCCTCTCTCATATGTTCTTTTTCTATGTCTTGTCTTCTTTCTCAGGACTTCTTCACGACTATTTTGGAAACTATCATGTGGCGTTTTATCTGGCTGGTGTTCCTCCAATAGTGGGGGGTATCGTGATGTTTTTTGTGCCTCTGGTGCACCAGCGCATGCAAAGACGGCGAAAAGAGACCAACGACCCCAGCATGGACAAGATGTTGAAGAACTGCTCGAACGGAGACATGCTGCCCGGATACACAGACATGGAGACACACATATGAAGCCCACAGCCACACAAAGGTAGTTTGTGTTGCATCATTATAGCATTTTTTGTTTGTTTTAAATTTTGTGAAAATATTACTTATTTCTGGAGTTTGAAACACAGATTTTCAATGCAGTCTCAAACTTTTGGGCCCCAGTGTATAGGAAAAAAAAGCTACATTTCATGCATGCTTAGAAATTGTTATGGTTTGTGATTTTTGCATTTCTACAAATATATAAAATAAAAAACATATACTAATATATTAATAAAAAAAATACTATATTTATACTATATATGTATATATACAGTATATATATATATATATAT